ATTCGATCTTCATTAAATTTTTGAAAATTTTGAAAATCCACGAAATTTTTTTGTGAAAATCCGCGAATTATTTTTGTTTTGTTTTACGATGTACACAAAGAGAACATGTTCACAATTAATTTAGAAGATGGGCTAGTAATTATATATGGATAGTCAAGACGACGATGCTACTCTTAAAAGTCAACCCGGTTACAAAAATGATTGCACAATTTTCATCTCTCTGCTTACTGGACAGCTTAGATACTAGTTTCTTCATTAATATGCAGTCTTTGTTGACAGAAAAAAAACATTAATATTTCATAATGGCGTTCATTCTTTCTCTTTTAAAAATCTATATTTAACTGTTTATGATGCACTACCACTACCAGTTTACAGTAAAAAAATAGATACTAAAAAAAGCATTGAAAATCTTATTATTTTTTACTTTATTCTGAAAGTTTTTCATCCCCCCCCCCTCCCAGCTGCTTTTGTAGTTATTCTTTGCTTATTTCTTTGTCTTCTAAGCCCACCCCCGCCCATCTTTCTCTTACCCTTTTAAACCCCGCTATCTTGCTAAGTATCTATGGTATCCCTTGTATCCCTTGATATCCCTGGTATCCGTGCTGTTTTGAAGATTATCACAAGGTGTGAAGGATTCCTATCATCAGGTTCATCTTTTTAAACAAATCAGTGTGAAATATCCAACTGTTTAGCGTTAGATAGATAGATATAGGACACAAAATAGAAAACTAAATGAAGAAGAAATGGCATAACTTTAAACTAACAAACTTTAAACTTTAAATATATCTTTACAAATATATTTGTGCGAGTCTTACTTAATAAATCTTTAAAATAAGTTCACACAAGATTGTAAAGGCGAAAAGACAAGTATAGTTTTACAAATGAGAGAAAACAAAAACAATAATAAAAAAGATTAAACAAAGAAAACAAAGAGATTAAAACGGAAGGAAATAAAAACACAAATTTGAATCTTTATTTAGTTTCAAACCGGTTTCTATACTGTAAGAGTTTATTGTGAATCAAGGCTTTTTCGCCACCACAACCTTATAGCTTTTGGCAAAAGTGTGTATTCCTACCCTTATAAAATAAACAACGTAGAATGATAATTATCAAAATAAAATATATGTTAGACTTAAAACCTCAAAATATGAGAACTTTATGTTTTCCTAGATGCCAAATTTAGACTATTCATGGCCCATGGGTGGCCCAATGATTCAATACCAAACCTCCTTTACACACCTAGCTCATCTTTAGCATACCTTCTCTGTCTTTGTATATATAATTATTGATTAATATTAAACCACTAATAAGTACTACTTAGCATTCGATTAACGAATTTAATCTTATTTGTTTTCATGTAAAAACATTGTGATTATATTTTCTTGTTTAAAAGAAGCAATGGAGAAACTCACAGAGATAAACGGAAAAAACGATCAGATAAAAATTGTAATGGTACTGTTGTGAATCGGACTTTGCAATCTTTGCATGAATTGTCACTTGAAATTACGCTTACAGTCTTTCATGCAAATAAATGTATACGTATTCTTCTCTTTCTTTCGTTTTCTTCTCCTACCTTTCCATTCTTCTTTTCTTTTCGCTTAGTTTTAGTCACAAATTCTTCTTTGTCTAAGCATTCATACCTTTTTCTAATCCTTTTTTTTTCTATCTTTTTTAAATTCTAATTCTTTTCTTTCTTTTCCTTTTTTTATTTTCCTTCCTTCTACTCTAAATATCCTTTTTTTATTTCCTTCCTCTCCATCTTCCTCATCCTTTTTCTACATGTGTATCCATCTTCCCTACCCTTCTTTCCTTTTCTTCTATCTTCGCATTCTTCTTTCTCGTTTACTCATTAGTTCTCCTTTGTACTCGTACTTTTGTCCCTCTCTCTTTCATTTTTCATTTTTTTTCATTTTCTGTCGCTGAATTTTTATCGTAAATTCTTCCATCTTCCCCTCTCCCCCATCTTACAACACCTATTTCTCATCTCCATAAATTTAGATAATTTTCACTGAATTTGCCACAGTGCTCAATAAAGCTGGTGGATACGCTAGTGTTTAGGTTCAAGTTCTGAGAGAGGAGGAGAGAAGGGGGTGGAGTTGGACGGACTAGGACCTGGAGCTAAAGGCGAGACAAAATTCGTCTCACGCTGAACCAACCAATTCTCTTAGAATTCAACAACCTGTTAGTTTTACTCGATTTTAGACATGAAAAGGAGTTGATTAATCTCTTATTTTCTAGTCCTTGTATTTTTGCAACCTGATTGTGTAAACTTTGATATTTCTCTCCTTGACGGTTATGAACAAAAAATCCAATATCAAAGTTGTCCACCATCAGCTTGTGAGGTAAGAGTTTGAGACGAATATCAGTTTTTTCGTTAATTTTGATAATATTTTTTGTTTAATAAAATTAGCTGTAATTAAAAAATGTATTCAAAGTTGAACTCTTCGTATTCCAGCGTGGTTTGAGCTAACAGAAAACCTACAAAACTCAGTTCTCAGCCAATGTTTGAAATTAAGAATTTGCTAATAATGCCAATTGCTATATTATCATAAACTGCAGTAAACTTTAATGGTCTGTTCTGGTAATAAATTAGGTTAATTGCGCCCGATAAAATGCATTTAGAATCGAAGGTGGGTGTTATTAAATATATAGATACATTCTATACCGGCAAAGAACAAAGAACTCTGACTTGGTTTAAATTCAAAAATCAAAAACCCCATTTTGCTAAAAGGACAACCCTGAAATCTTTCCTGATAAATGATATGGAAGATATTGTCGTTTTTCTAGATTTGCTAGGCTAAAAGGGATTTGATTACAAAATTCCTCTTTATTTTCCTCTGGTAAAATGCAATTAACTTTTGTACAGAAACAAAAATAATTAGTTTCCAAAATAATAAACGTATGATATCATATTTAAAGAGAAAACCTTTTAAATGGTTCCGTTGTGAATGGGACATTGCTGCATTTTTGCATTAAGCGTCACTTGAAATTACGCTTACAGTCCCTTTAAACTTAAAAAGTACTAAGGGTATTATTCTAAATACATTTTTCAAAAAAGCTGTGAAATTATTTTTACGTTTCTCCTGATATAGCGTAGAAGAATATAAAATAATATATAGGCATATTCATATATTTGTAGAGAGAGATATCTATGAAAAGTATCTTAGGTGTAAGTATCCCTCCAAAAAATTGTTTGTTTATGCACAAAGATATGTAAACAAATATGTAAACAAGAAAGAATGACAAATAGGGTATTTGAAAAGGCTGAGAGAGTTAAATTTTTTGCTAAAACAATATTGTCACACTTCCAGTGGACAAACAGAGAACTTTCAGAGAAAATATGCAAATGTATCGGTGCTTACTTAACCCTACAAATGCTGCAGGATCTCTGAATTTGTAAATATATGCAGACCTAGGTGAAAAGTGCAAAAAATACGAAAAATTCATTATCCATTTTTTAGGCCTTTTAAACTATAAAAAACTGTTTATTAATCACCAGCACACGTCAAACTACATGAAATTGAACTTAAGATTTATATCCTTATATTTTTTCATTCGATCATAAAACTCCTGAAAATGCCAAAACTGTTTTGAATTTCTAATTATGTTAGCAAATAAATTAGCTTCCATAATATCGTAGTAAAATAAAAACTACAGAAGCTACAAGGTCACAGCAATGGCATACCAGTAATAAATGTAAACCTCATCTTTTCCAGTTGTCAAGTTTTCAATGAGTATTCAAAATATTTTTATATTTCGTAAATGACTGAAAAATACTAAAAGGATCTGAGCATTTGACGAAAACTTTAACTTTTTAAACCCTAAATCTCAAAATCTTATATTCCGAACTATAGTTTTTTTTTACGAATATAATGCTCGAAGGTCTTTTCCATCAGGTTGTGGATAAAAGGGGGCTCGAATACTAGAGTTTGTGGCAAGTGTTAGTTTCTTTATTTTTTAATAAAAATCTGAACGCAAATTTTAATTGGCTTTCAATGCATTTTTGATTATTTAGATGCAAACCCCAAAGCAGTAAATGCCAATACTTAACTGTGCAAAAATATTTCTCAAGGATTAACTTTGCAACAAGATACATTTGCACAATATTGATTGCAAAATTATTCTCCTGTTAGCTTAAATTTTCCATTAAAAAATTACGAACTTTTTTAGCCCTGCGCGCATAGCAATTATGTGTTGATGCATTCCAATTCCTTAAAATTAGAAAATCTAACTTTTAAGATTTTCATAACTACGCGTTAACTTTCTAACATTTAATATAATCTATCAACAATAATTAGAAAATTAGATAATGATTAACTTAATTTATTTTCTTATCCTACTGCAGAATATTTATGGTTCGATATTTTTATTAAATTTAGAGATACTGTACTGCAAGCTAGACAGATGGGAAATGTCAAATTCTTGCAACGTTATTTTACACCTTTCAGACCTCTTATCTCCTCTAGTTTTAATTTTAAGCACAAGTATGAAAAATAGAAACATTATCCATGGTTCCATATAGGAAACTCTAAACATTTTTGTTCTTCTCAATAAATCTTCAATTAAAGGATTTGTGATTGAAAACCTAGATGTCAATCTAACGTGGAATTTACTTTGGTTTGTCGTGACTTTTATTTAAAGAGGGGCATGTCTAATTCACAACGGTGCCCTTTTAACCTTTATCTTATCTAATATTGTCGTTTTTATAGTATTTTTATCTGATAATTCCCTCAATTGTTTCTTGATCATAAAGAGCTTTTTAAGGGTGTAGTTGTGAATTTGACACGCCACTCTGGTATTTTGTATACAGTCCCTTTAAACTTGCTAAAACGTGTAAACCAATGGTTTATATTTTTTCATGTCTAAATCTAATTAACATTTCATTGTCAATAAGTTTAACATGTGTTTTACATAAATTTAATTTTTTTAAACTTTCCCTCTAATCCTTCTCTTCATTCAAATTTTTCCTTTTTTTTCACTTCTTAGAAACTGAGCAAAAATTATTGTTTGATATTTATTATTGTATTTAATGCAGACATATATTTAAATAATTTAAAACTATCACAGCCATGATTATATTCCTCCATCTAGTGAGTTTAATATCTTTCTTTATCAATATCAATATAGATATTCTCCGGGTTCTGTTGAGGAGTAGGATTGGATACAGGCTGACCTATCCATTGTCCATCTAATCTCTGGTTGGAGAGAATATGCTGGAGATATGACTGGTTGGAGTTTAAAGGAATCACTAGAGCAGTTTCTCCATTAGGTAAAGTTGTATATACAGAGGTATTAGGGATACATGTGTACATAGATCCTTGGGTAGTGTACATAGATCTCTGGGTAGTAGGTATAGTAGTGTACACAGAGCTAGATGTACTTGATTCGCTTCCAGTACTATAATCATACACAGAGAAGTGTCCAGTGTTCTGGTGTGTGTTGTAATCCTGAAACTTGCTGGAATCCAGGCTAGAGATCATAATCTCTCTCTTCATGTTCTCCTTCTTCTTCTTGTTCTTCATCTTGGTGTAAAGAAGAGCAGAGATAAAGATTATAAGAGAACAGGAGAGAAGAGAAACCAAGGTTGCAATAAGAACAGTTTCTTCCTCTCCAATCTTCAAGGTTTCAATCTCAGGTTCCTCCAGAGGAAGATTTATAAAAATCTCTCTTCTTTCCTGTTCAAGAAGATCTTCCAGGGTCATCTCATCTTCATAATCTTCTTCTATATCCAGAAGATCTTGGAGGACTGTCTCAGGGTTCAATATTTCTTCAATCTCAGGTTCAACCTTCTCTGTGGTCTGTGTAGTAGATGGAGAAGGTGTAGTACTGGTAGAACTAGGACCTGGATAAGGTGTAGTACTAGTAGTAGAACTAGGAGAAGGTTTACTAGTTGTAGCTGACATCTTGAGTAACCAAGGTGGAAGATCATTATTCTGAGATCTTGGTTTCTCCACCTTGTTGATACAAGTATAATGAATCTCTAGATATTTATAAGTATCAGGACAAGGATCTCCAAATACAGAACTGGTCACATCAATAGAACAGGATGATTTCCCTTGGCATAAAGAGTTTACTTGTCTCAGGGTAGTTGGTTGAATACAACGAGTTGACCAAGCTTTATTTAATCCTGGATTACAAATATCAGCATCAAATCTACCATAGTTGGCTCGGACTGGAGATATATAGGATCCATCCTCACATTCTAGATTTATCTGGGTTCCTTCGCAACCATACTTGGATTTTTTTTTCAGTTTTAACTTTTAAATATTTTTGAATACAACCTATTATTTGAAAATGAACTCATACAACTTGCAACGAAATGTTTATAATTCAATTTCCAATGCATTTTTTTTCTTTAGCTTCGGCTTTTTTAACTTATTTACAAGAAAAGAACAGATTTGTTTTTTATCAATATTATTAATCAAAATTATTTTTATTTAGTGTTTAGCTAATGTAAAATTTGACTTTGTTGAAATAAAATGTAAAAAAAAAATGTTGTGCTGTAAAATTTTGCAAAAATAATATTCTTAAATACAAAATGTTTAAACATATTATTTAAAAAAGAAACCATATAACTTGCAGCGATGGTAGATATAAATACAGAAATGTAGATAAACAATAAACATAGAATAAAGAAATATTTGGATGATAAATAAAAAATGGATGAAATGAATAGATTCTATTGATGATTATATTAGATTAGTTGAAAGAGAAACAGAGATAAGAATCAGCAATTAATACTGATAAAAAACTAGATAAAAAACAGGAATTTACATGAAACAAAAACATTTTTTAGATCTTTGCATCGCCAGGATCTATTTTTATTCTTTAAAGTTTTTTTTTGGAAAATGTTTTTCTTTGTGATATGAGAATACTATGGGACAGAGTATGAATTGAATAGAATACACAGAGGATAATCTAGATTTCAATAAAATCCTCTTTAATCCTTCAGGGGTGATATTTCTAACAAATAAATTTAACTCGAAAACTTTTTATTTTTACATGTAATCTTTAAAGGAACATCAAATATTTTTTGGTTAATTTAAAAAAAAAATATTTCTTTCCCTTTAATCCATTCAAATCCGAGGTATACAGACCATTTCCTTCAATATACATATTCTTCATGCAAATATATATATTTATCTAAATACTTTTTCATCCATTCTTTCACTTTTATCCACCCATAAAACTGCAGAATTGGAAGAGGATAGAGAAAAAAAGTTTATATGTATTTGATGTTGTTAAAAAGCTGCAAATATAAAAGGTTTACTAATTGCGTCAATATAAAAGGTTAACTAATTGCGTCAATATAAAAGGTTAACTAATTGCGTCAATATAAAAGGTTAACTAATTGCGTCAATATAAAAGGTTTACTAATTGCGTCAAAATAAACTTTTTTACATAAAATGGGTTTGTGTACACTGCTGACTTGATTTTTTTCATGTTCGTTAGACTATTTATAATCGTTAATATCGTCTTACTTTTCCATTTTATTATATTAAATTATATTCAATTATACAGCATCATTAGACAAGAAACAAATTTTATAAATAAAGTGGCGCAACTTAACTTTAAACACTTTAAAATCAAGATTTTTCAAACTGTGATCGTTGTCTTTAAAAGTAACATTTTTGTATTACAAAAATTTTCGAATCATGGCTGATTTACAAATACATATACAACAAAATTGCAAATTACAATTTAAAATCCTGTGTGCAAATATGCACCTACTGAAAAAGCTTGAACTTGCAAGGCAATTCTTCTTCGTGCATTTCCATGAATACCAATTTTCACGCGCAAAAAAAATCCTCAAGGAAATCCTAATTACAACATTTTTGAACTTCTTTTGCCACTCAAATTATGTTTAATCATATCATATCCTATCAGAAAATATTTAATTTTTTTGTTAATTTTTCATGGATGAATTTTTCATATTTAACAACACAAGCAAACATAATTAAATATTTAATTCATTTTTTTATGAATGAATTTGGTCCGGTTAGAACTGATCAGAATTAGGTTGAATGAATAAGCAAATTCTTTAAATGCTGGTTGTAAATGGAAGAATAAGGGTTGAGGGGAATATGCAACTTTATAGTTTCCTGTGAAAGATCTAGAAATCTTAAAAACACCCAACCTTGAAAACTTCAAACAGAATTTTGTCCGTTTTACGGTTTCGGAGTTTTTGCGATCCTACGTAAAGGGGTGTCCCATATAAACTTAACCTTTTACAAGATAAGCACATTTTACTTATTTGCTAATATTTGTTTTTACTTGAATTATTTTAAGAGAAGAGTTTGAAGTACGTAAAAATTTTAAAAATGAAAAACATAAAAAAGAAGAGTATTAAAGATACGATGAGAAACAAGGTAAACAGAAGTTTGATAAAAGGAGAAAACACACAGAAACAGTTACAAGAAATATGAATGCAGAAGACCAAGGAACCTGACAGAAGAATTCAAGAGAAAAGATGAGATTAGAGAAACCCCAAAGATTAAAAAAGAAGAAAGAAAAAAAGGAATATACGCATAAACGCATATACGCATATACGCACGTATACGTAAAAGAGAATATAAATTCGAAAGAGGGAATGAAAAGCGTTGGCATAATAAATGTTAAAATTTTGTTATTTTTAGGAAAAAGGCGTTTTCGGAAAGGGGGGATATAAAAAAGTAGATAATAAAGTCATAAAAGGTCTTTTTGAATAATTTTGATTGATGTATGTTAGATAAATATACAGTTGTCTCACGATACATCACCATTATGCAGATAATAAAGATATAAAGAATACAAGGTTGAATAAGAAATTAAGATAATGTTCACTTCTTGATTGGTCCATTTAGACAAACTTTATTTATTCCACTCTTTCATTTTCCTTTTTCTTTTCCTTATTCTTTCTTAAAGGGCTGTAAGTGTAATTTCGAGTGATTCTCCATGCAAAGATGACAATGCCCGATTTACAACGGTACCCCTGAAAGCTTTGTCTGAACATGAATGAAACAGATATCATATTAATGTTATTGTTTCTTCAAACTGTTTATTTTCATTTGTGTATTTTCTGCGAAAGTGACTTGCGCTTTTCTTGTTTAAAAGAAGCAATGGAGAAACTCACAGAGATAAACGGAAAAAACGATCAGATAAAAATTGTAATGGTACTGTTGTGAATCGGACTCGGAGCGTCACTTGAAATTACGCTTACAGTCCCTTTAAACTTAAAAAGTACTAAGGGTATTATTCTAAATACATTTTTCAAAAAAGCTGTGAAATTATTAATATGTTTTATATTTCGTAAAGTACTTACAACCCCCCTCCCCCTGTTCTCTTGCTGTGCCCCTGCCATGTTTTGCCGTAAAAAGTGAACTAAATGGTTAAATAAATTCCAGTAGGTAGAGCAGGGGTAGGCAGCTACTCTAATGGAAATCTGTTAAATTTGTTCGAACCTGACACAAACCTCATTTTTCACACCTGGGTCCGGCCCAAACCCTTCCAGGGATTCTTCACAAATTTGAAAATAATCAGAAAATCCCAATTCAGATTAAAAAAAACACGCCATTTTCAGCAACTCTAAAAAATCGCAATTTTTAACACTTGTCGTTATTTTTAGAAAACACGGTTTTCTTGTGAATTTTGTAGAAACATCTTTGAACGGTAATTGGTAACAAAAGAGATGTTATTTTAAGATAGGAGAACAAGCCATTGAAATCATCAGTTTGCCCACTTAACCATTCCTGAACATATACTTTCTAAAAATGAAACCTGAGTTCACTAAAACATTTAGTTTATTTAAACCATTCTATTTGTACTAAAAACATATCACGTTTTAGAATTTGAAAAAGGATCATATACAACTGGCTTTCGTTAAAAGTGCTTTTGAGGAACCTACAAATAAAATATTTATATTCAGGGCTCTCTGAAAAGATACAACGGTGGAAGCCTGGCAAAGATTGCTCAGTTTTATTAGTCAGTGAACAATTTTTTCATATGTCCAGCTTTTAGTTTTCGTAGTTCCTACTTAATATATTTTTTTCCTCAAAAATTTAAATCTTTATATATAAGATAAAAGTAATTTTGTCAGGGATTTTGTCAGAGAAAACGTAAGATCATTCTGATAAGTGCAGGTGACAAAACTGGAACCTATTGATCAACCGACCTATTCCCATTGATCAACAAACCTAACCCTATTGATAGACAAACCTAACCCTATTGAAGTTCACTCTTGGATAAATCCCGTGAACAATGAACCCCGGATACTCCGGGTACAATAGCTAGCTGCGGTCTCCTGTGTATAAAGGAGAACCCGGAGTAAACCCAAACCATGAATAGATCTTCTCTCTACAGCTGACAATGACTGGAGTTACAAATATCTCAATTCAAGATCATGTAGACAGATGGGATGCTAAGGGTGTAAACAAAAATCGAGAACATTCCCTAAAATTGGACGTTTTTGTCACTTTCAACGAAAATTTAAGAATTTTCAAAATCTGAAATATTTTATTTTTGAAACTCCGTGTTCACACAAGAGTATCAGAGGTGCCGAATTTCCCGTCCTTCATACAATGCCGCGGACACAAACAAATATAAAATAGATTTATAACTTTACATAAAGATGTCCGTTGTCAACAAGACTGTTTAGCAAAACATTAGTACGTTGGGTGCACTTATTGCTGGTTTTATTGTCACTTGAATCATTATCACTTGGTTCCTTGTCTCCTGTGGTTTTTTCATTGTTGGTGGTAATCCATTGCCAATTGAATCATTGTAATAGTTCCATTGCCACTTGTATCATTCCTACTAGTTCGATTGCCACTTATGTCCAGTTTGGTGGTTCCAATTGCCACTTGTATGTATCATTAGTTAAAGTTCAATTGCCACTCGCATCTATCTTTAGACCTAGTTCCATTGCCACTTGCATTATTTGTATACAGTACTACTTTGATTATGACTTGTGTAATTATTTCTAGTTCAATTGCCACTTTTGTCATTAATACTATTCCTTTGCCCCTTGTATCAATGTTGCCTATTCCATTGCAACAATTGTATCTTTATTATATACAAGTTTCATTGTCACTTGTCGTTGCATTGCTATTGTGTCATTATAATTGCTTTCGTTATAATTTTTATTATTATTTCTAGTTCCATTGCCACTTGTATTATTATTATTATACAGTACTAGTTGAAGGTATACACTTGTATAATTGCTAGTTTAAATGCTGTAAGTGATTCAATTAAAACATTTGCAATT